CCCCAAAACCCCAAAACCCCAAAACCCCAAAACCCCGTTAAAAATTTGACTAATTGACCGATTTTTAATTGTGGAAAAAGGGAAATGGAGAAAGAGAAAAGTAATTGATTTGAGAAAAATGCTAAAAGTAAGGTTAGAAGGGGAGATACGGACTTTTAGATATGATTTAAGAGGTTTTAATTGAATTTTAGACCTACAGGTTGGTTTTAGGTTTATATATTTGAGGGGATTAGAAATTTATTGCATGAATTTGAGAAATATTTGTCTTTTTCTGTAGAGTATGAGTACGAAAAACTTCAAATTGAACTGAAATTGACTCAGAGAGAGCTCAAGCATAAAGAAAATCAAAGAGTAAAAGAAGTTGCCCTTCTTGAACAAAAGATAGAGCTACAAAAATAATGAAATTCATGATTTAAAAAGTCAACAGCAAACCCAGAAAGATCTATACGATACTATGGTGAGATCTATAAACGCTATCAACGGACCAAGTACCACAGAGCAGGAGTGCCTTTCAATGATTAAAGACCTCAAAGAAAAACATGAGAGACAAATTATCGAGACAGTTAGTCATTACACCCAAAAATGTGATAAACTCTATACTTACATAAAAGAGTCCGAGAGAATGCAGGATGACCTTGAATCTCAATGGAAGACACAAAAGCGTGAGCTCAAGCTTTCTCATCAAATGGAGATGGAAAACCTTCAAGAAAAGTACAAATAAACAGATATCCAAAATAAAGAAGAAACTTGTCAGGTATTTCTCTCATCATTTTTCATGAATGGGTTTATTTCTCATCTATAGCAAAACTAAAGAAGCAACGTACAGATCCGACAGGTATAGTCCTCTGTCTATTCAGTCTAGTGTTTCCAAGATCCAGCAAGTCACAGAAAGAAACATAATGGAGATTGAGCAATTGAGACAATCAGTTGCTAATAAGGACTTGTTGTTGAGAGATAATAACGACCAAATAACCTGCCTCAATAACAAGATCCATGGGTTAAGAACAATCATCAGTGAGCTGAGAGTGGTTGAGCAAAAGTATTCCCAACTCTTAGAAAGACCTCAATTTTCAACAGGTATTTTTCCCTAACGACTCCAGAAACTTTTGAGGTCAATAATCCACCTTGTGAAAATATGTATATGGATGATTGCAAAAGGAAGGCTACTAAAAGTTGTAAATAAAGTAAAGAGCAAGCACATCAAGACTTCAAGAGGCATTGAGCAGATGAATATCTATGACGAACAATCCGTCTCAAAGCAAAGTACTAAGAAAGGAAAGAAAAAGAAGAAGCATGGGAATCTCAAGATTAATATCAAAGAGAATAACCCTCCTGGGACAGTAGTCCCTCAGAGTACTCAGGGTCATACTAATATGAGCCCGTTGATGCAGAATTATACCTTTCAGGAGAAAATGAAACACCAGGAGCAGAACCTAGTTGAGAGGATGAATAGAATAGAGTCTATTATTACAAGCAGAAATAGTTTTGATAGACTTCCAGATAAGTCTTATCGCCCATTACTCTCCCAGAATGACTACAATTATGATTATAGTGTGAATTATGCCGTTAGCACAAGGAGAGGAACAGTATCTCCTCTATCATCTCATAGAATGACTTCGTAAGAACCTTAGCATAATTTCCTAGATACAACACTGCTAATTCAAGTATTTGCCCCAATAGCTCACCTAAGCGTCAGCCTCTTCCTGCTCATAACCAAATGCGGCTTTGTTAGAAATGTCTAATTTTATGTTACTCAAGCTTGAGAAAGAGGAAAGGGGTTTTGGGGTTTTGGGGTTTTGGGGTTTTGGGGAGAGTA